TCATTTGATCAAATAGCGGCAGGTCCTGCCTTCTGGGGTTCTTCTTCCAGGGGTCCATGTCACTGCCTGCCTGACATGGACTATTGCCATTGTTTGTCCACCAGAGGGCTCCTCTCCGGATCCAGAAGACAACTGACAATGGCCCGTGGGGAGTCAAGGAGACTGGCTGGCCAAGTCATGCCAGTATGGGGCTCATAATGACTGATATTTGGCATATGGTTGGCTGGTTAATTGGATATTGGGCCACGTCACTTTATAGCTGTTTTTAGGATAACATGTGCCTTTCGTTAGGGTTTTTATATTTGGTGTGGCTATATTTAGGACATATTTGTATTAGTAGAGTTTACACTTTTCCATATATCTGGTTTTGATATTATTTGTGTATATATGTTATTGCGGACAACTTGTGAGGGATTGTTTGTTGTTTGCTTTACATTGGTCTCTTGTCCTGCACACTCAGCGGTGCTGGTTCTGGTGGCATAGTTACAAAACAAGACTTATATTATCTTATGGACACAGACCTAAAGGTTCTATCCAAAAGAAGCTTTTGGGTGTAGTTGGGCTTTATCCTTGTTTAACAACAGTATAAAGAGCAATGATATGCAGTTAGTAAAGCTGGCCATACACGTTCAATTTCCCCATCCACAGCCAGTGGCCATGACTTTCGGAATGCCACTGGCTGTGGATGGGCAATCCTGTCAGGCCAACAATTTTTCACATGGCTCCTTCAATTTATTCAATTGAAGTTTGTCAAGCCAGGTGGTGTCAACAGAGCCACCCACGGTTTTAGAAATCCCAACAGTGTATGACCAGCTTAACACAGAGTAACCAATATCTCCAGAAGAACAATGAAAGATGACATCCTATTGGCTGCTAGGAGTCACAGTACTGTTGACATTGGACAATGTTTTATTAAATAAGGACAACAGTGTTAAACTGCGAGTACATCCACGTGAACACACATCTATGGGCTGTGAGACTTCTGCTGTGATGTTATAAATGAATATTGGATACCATTTTAAAAGACTATTTTACCTGAGACGAAGAAACAGCGATATGATGGAACTTGCCGCGACCCAGCTGTGGAATAGCTCTCACAAAGAAGAACTTTCTGCCATCTTTGGAGAAGATAGGCTGTTCATTCTAGTATATAGAGAAGATGGAAGACTTAGCATTCATGAGACTGAAATCAATAGTCTAATGGTTCAGCAAAGCACTTGAAGCTGAAGGTGTATAAAAAACAACTGTGCAGTGTTAACTGTTATTACTATTATTATTATTAGATTAAAATCTGGTATTGCGGGCTTCTATTCAAACATACTTACACACTGTGAGCGCAGCCATAGTTACTGTAGTTACAAGCTTTTCTGCTGCTTGCATAGAGGCCTTAAAGAAACGTGATCATGTCATGTAATCTCTTTTATGTGATCTGCAACATTTGGGCACAGTGCTGTTGGCAAAAACACATATGATTTTCTGTATAGGAACCCACAATCTCTGTTATCTATCCCTAACACTTAAAACTTACACTTATTCTACTTTCCAAAATCAGCCCTTAACATTTAACTTAATCTTTAATACTTAAAGTGTATGTAAACCTAACAGTGCATTTCTCTTATTTGGCCATTTTGGTCCATTAAATATAACTTTGAAAGCAATTTGTTATATCTGTTTGATAAGTGCAAACAAATCCTGTTGATCCTGCCCAACATCTTGTGAGCTGATACTTTTCCTTGCTTTTTGCCTGTGCTGACTGATACCAATTACATTGTTCTCAGCTATCTCTAAGAATTGCAGAACCCCCTTGTTTTATGGACAATATAAAAAGGGTGGGAACTCTTTTGTTTTTGTTGTCCTGATACAGAAGGGTGAATGAGTGTTGTCATATTAGGACAGGACGTGTTATTGGCAGAATCACCAGGAAGAAAAGATTTAAAAAAGAACTAATGCAACCACCAACTCTAAGGACTGGTAAGATGTAATATACGTTGTAGTACATTTTTGTTTTTGAATGTAGATATGCTTTATAGTTAACTCCAAAAGTAACCCTGAACATAAACCTGGATCACATATAACAAGCATACCACTTATCCCTTAACATAATTTACTTAAATTAATCCTTTACAAGTAACCCAATCCTGGAATTTAACTCCTTCCACCCTAAACCTAACCCTTAAAGCAACACTCTGGGCAAAATGTTTATTAACCCTTGCTGTAGAGGCTGCAGTGCCTCAAATCATCTCTGAATTGGTGCTGACACTGTCCTTCCTTCTGGAGGGTGGCTACTTTTGTTCCCCATGGTCCCTGTGTATGTTGTAAAGTAGCCATCGTTCCAAGCTCACTCCTGTGATGGACTACAATCTCAATACAAATGAGTAAACTAAACATGAGACTGAAGTCCATTATGGGAGCGAGCTTCCAGTGGTGGGGAACAAAAGTAGCCACTAGGCTACTAGGTCCACTAACCACTAGGTCACTGTGCTGCCTGTAATTGTTCTGACATTAATGTAAATGCATATAAAAAGCTGTGTTTCATATCAGAAAGGATCTACCAGAAAATAAATGAAACTGATTATGTGTGATTGTTAAAGAAAGACAATAGTATCATGTAATGTGTACCTCTCAGATAGTCATTAGTGATTTCATCTGACAGATACTAACCGAAACTATAATCTTCTGTTGCACAGCCTTTAAACATCATGTGATGCAGTATGGTGGGGGAGCTCATTTTAAAGTGTATCTAAACTCAAAAACAATATTGCAGCTTACCATTCTTCAAATGTGGTGGATGAGTATGTTTTCTTTTATCAGGCTATGCTTTCTTTATTTTGACCTGGTGATCCTGCCAGTAACACACTTTCTGTCCTAGCGTGACAACACTCATTCACTGTGCTGTATCTGTGGGGGAGCAGTGCTGCCACCCAAGCACAGGACTACAGAACACCTCCACTTATACCATGGAGAAAGGTGTTCTGTAGTCCACCAAGAGAGACAGGAACAATGCTAACAGATAAAAGTACAGTGCAGACAGAGAAGACAGGAAGTTATCAATTCTCAAGATTCCTGGCAGGAGCAACGGGCATTTTTGGCACTTATTGAACAAATATAACAAAATGCATTAAACAGTAGAAGGTAGGTGTTCTGTAGTCTCTAGGCAGGACTAATAATACTGCTTGAGAGAACACTGCAGCATGAACAGAACAACACTGGGTTCCTAGCAGGCTCAACATGTATTTTGTGGCCCTTTTTTGAACAGATATAACAAAACACATTCAATATTATATGTAGCAGACCAAAAGGGAGCAAATAAGAACAGTTCATTGTAGGGTTTACAGCAATCTTTCCACAAGCTGTGCTGAATTTAGTACCAAAAAAAAAAAAAGATTATGTGCACCTATGTGTAAGAAATGTGCATATAGACAAGTCGCTGAAATATTTTACCTACCAAATAATTGTAACATATCAATGTAACCACTGCTATTCCGTTAGTAGCAATGATTGCATTTATATGCTCATTCACTCCAGTAGCCTCTAGTATTGTAACGTTGAATCTCGTTACTAGGGATGTTCAGATACCAAGTACCAGACTCTGTACAAGCTCCAGGACTAGACTAGAGAAAAATTCAAAAGTTAGGAGGCAGCTATCATTTTTAAAGGAGTATACGGAGCTCCTGGGGTTTCTGCATCTCTGTTTTAATGTATGATTTTAAAAATAAATATTAAAGGGATGCACCGATACCATTTTTTCAAGCACAATTACTGATACCTGCCCAAGAAATCACAGATACAAGTACTGATACATTATTGTTTATTGTCATGTGGCAGTTTTTCTAAAACAATACAGACTAATGATCTCAGGACAGTGGTGGAGCGCCAGAGCAAGGTCCCAGCTGCAACCTCTGCAACCCTGGTAGATCTCATGAAAATGCCAAGTATCGGCACTGGTATCTGAACATCCCTACTCCTTACTAACATGTATTATATCCTATAATCCCCAGCTCCATCTAGTGGTCATTATGCTGTATTTTCCTAGTTCACTCTGTCTTGTATGAATATGCCTATTGAAGAACATTGGACCAGAAGAGAATGTATATTAAGAACATTTGTTTTTGCTCCATTCTTGCAACAGCTGGTTAACTCGCTCAGCAGGAATGTACCTGCAGTTTCACTGGATAAATAAGCTATGCAATTTGTTTTATAAACAGACCCCTTAGTGTGCATAATTATTCTGTAGAATCTATATTAAAGCCTGTGTACATGGCATTAGTTTGACTAAGAACTGCTTTTCTCTCTGTACAAGTCAATAGAAATGCAAAAGCAGTGTCCTTCCTTCTGGAGGGTGGCTACTTTTGTTCCCCATGGTCCCTGTGTATGTTGTAAAGTAGCCATCGTTCCAAGCTCACTCCTGTGATGGACTACAATCTCAATACAAATGAGTAAACTAAACATGAGACTGAAGTCCATTATGGGAGCGAGCTTCCAGTGGTGGGGAACAAAAGTAGCCACTAGGCTACTAGGTCCACTAACCACTAGGTCACTGTGCTGCCTGTAATTGTTCTGACATTAATGTAAATGCATATAAAAAGCTGTGTTTCATATCAGAAAGGATCTACCAGAAAATAAATGAAACTGATTATGTGTGATTGTTAAAGAAAGACAATAGTATCATGTAATGTGTACCTCTCAGATAGTCATTAGTGATTTCATCTGACAGATACTAACCGAAACTATAATCTTCTGTTGCACAGCCTTTAAACATCATGTGATGCAGTATGGTGGGGGAGCTCATTTTAAAGTGTATCTAAACTCAAAAACAATATTGCAGCTTACCATTCTTCAAATGTGGTGGATGAGTATGTTTTCTTTTATCAGGCTATGCTTTCTTTATTTTGACCTGGTGATCCTGCCAGTAACACACTTTCTGTCCTAGCGTGACAACACTCATTCACTGTGCTGTATCTGTGGGGGAGCAGTGCTGCCACCCAAGCACAGGACTACAGAACACCTCCACTTATACCATGGAGAAAGGTGTTCTGTAGTCCACCAAGAGAGACAGGAACAATGCTAACAGATAAAAGTACAGTGCAGACAGAGAAGACAGGAAGTTATCAATTCTCAAGATTCCTGGCAGGAGCAACGGGCATTTTTGGCACTTATTGAACAAATATAACAAAATGCATTAAACAGTAGAAGGTAGGTGTTCTGTAGTCTCTAGGCAGGACTAATAATACTGCTTGAGAGAACACTGCAGCATGAACAGAACAACACTGGGTTCCTAGCAGGCTCAACATGTATTTTGTGGCCCTTTTTTGAACAGATATAACAAAACACATTCAATATTATATGTAGCAGACCAAAAGGGAGCAAATAAGAACAGTTCATTGTAGGGTTTACAGCAATCTTTCCACAAGCTGTGCTGAATTTAGTACCAAAAAAAAAAAAAGATTATGTGCACCTATGTGTAAGAAATGTGCATATAGACAAGTCGCTGAAATATTTTACCTACCAAATAATTGTAACATATCAATGTAACCACTGCTATTCCGTTAGTAGCAATGATTGCATTTATATGCTCATTCACTCCAGTAGCCTCTAGTATTGTAACGTTGAATCTCGTTACTAGGGATGTTCAGATACCAAGTACCAGACTCTGTACAAGCTCCAGGACTAGACTAGAGAAAAATTCAAAAGTTAGGAGGCAGCTATCATTTTTAAAGGAGTATACGGAGCTCCTGGGGTTTCTGCATCTCTGTTTTAATGTATGATTTTAAAAAATAAATATAAATAAAGGGATGCACCGATACCATTTTTTCAAGCACAATTACTGATACCTGCCCAAGAAATCACAGATACAAGTACTGATACATTATTGTTTATTGTCATGTGGCAGTTTTTCTAAAACAATACAGACTAATGATCTCAGGACAGTGGTGGAGCGCCAGAGCAAGGTCCCAGCTGCAACCTCTGCAACCCTGGTAGATCTCATGAAAATGCCAAGTATCGGCACTGGTATCTGAACATCCCTACTCCTTACTAACATGTATTATATCCTATAATCCCCAGCTCCATCTAGTGGTCATTATGCTGTATTTTCCTAGTTCACTCTGTCTTGTATGAATATGCCTATTGAAGAACATTGGACCAGAAGAGAATGTATATTAAGAACATTTGTTTTTGCTCCATTCTTGCAACAGCTGGTTAACTCGCTCAGCAGGAATGTACCTGCAGTTTCACTGGATAAATAAGCTATGCAATTTGTTTTATAAACAGACCCCTTAGTGTGCATAATTATTCTGTAGAATCTATATTAAAGCCTGTGTACATGGCATTAGTTTGACTAAGAACTGCTTTTCTCTCTGTACAAGTCAATAGAAATGCAAAAGCAGCTCAGAAAAATATTAGAAGCAGGTCAGAAGAAGTAAAAACCAATTTCAAATGCAAGCCGTAAGCACAGATACTGTAAGTCTGTTGCATTTTCCTAAGCCCTTGGCTGTGTAGTGGTTAAAAGTTGTTTTCCTTTAACTTTTATTCACATAAGGGACCATATAGCTGCATATAGAGTTCCCTTTCTGTGCTTTGCCTTGTGTTCAATTTGTTGGCCATTTTTTATATTTAGAACTGTATGTTTTATGAATCTAACATTTTAATTGAAAAGAGCATCAAGTTTCAGTTATATATTTAATTGCAGCCTTTGTAAATGAAATATAGTGTCAATGATAAGTACATTTAAACAACATTATCAAATAATAAAAAAAACCTGCAAAATGTAAAAGTGATCTTTTTACCTGCCGATGTAACCAGGCCTCACTTTCATCTTCATGTTTCTGAAAAAACAAACAAACAGATTTTCTTAGCGTTCCTTACAAACCAGCTGTATTGGTGGTGTAGAGTTTATTTATGAGGATTCCCCCTGTGCAGGTGTAAGTGGTGACACCGGTGGATCCCACTCTTGTCACCGGAGTTCAAGGTGAGGAGAAGGGAGGATGTGCTTTATTTAAATATGGCTACCTGTGGGAGAGGAGGACACTGGGAACCACATGGACCCCAAAATGAACAGGTGAGAGATCCAGTGGACCTCTTTAAAAGTTCAATCAACAGTGGCATGAATCAGATATTCTCTCTACTGAAGCAAAGGTCAAACACCATTACACTGATCTACTGGTGGAATACATTTCCTGTTATGTGTTCATCGCTATTGGGTATTTCTTGGGGCTCTGGTGGTGAATCAAGAAGGGGGTAGTATGAGGAAGTGCCTACAGTGTCTCCTGTGCAGCAAGCATTTACGTTGCCTTGTATGGGTAAAGTAAATATAAATTTTTTTGGAACTCATAGAGGAAAACAGTTATAGCCTATACTAGCAAAAAATGATGCCTGTTGGTGCACATGAGAAATTGGGATGGTTTATTAAGAAGAGAGTTACAGTGATAAGGGCAGGAATGGGTGAGGGAGAGAAGTGTAGTGAGGGTAGCGGCAGGTGGGCAGGGATGAGTGGTGAGGACAGGTTTGGATGGTGGGTATGGGAAAGAATGGTGAGAATGTGTGTAAAATGGGGGTTGTGCATCAAAGTGGTAAGAGGGAGGGTCAAGTGGATAAGAGGATCGAGTTGTAAAGGAAGGAGACCTAGTGTGGGTGGAGTAGCAGAGTGGTGAGAGCAAAAGGGGTGGCATGTGTGGGGTAAAGTGTTAAGCGTGCAAGGGCAGCAGAGTGTTGAGGGGGGCAGGGGAAAATGGTGAGAGCAGGGGTAGGTGGGTGGGCATGTGACAGAGTGGTATAGTGGGCAGAGTTTTGAAAGTGTGTGGGTGTGTGTGTGGGTGGGTGGGGTCAGTAGAGTGGTAAACAGGAGGAATACATTTCCCAAACCTCTACATGCCAACAGGAGAGAGGGCAGACATAAGAAGTGCTGGCATTAGTTCATTGGGCATGCGAGAGTGAGGTAGACTTCTGCACTTCCAAAAGGATCCCCCTGCATGTGCAGTAAACATTGCTTATGTGTGCACACTCTAGTGCAGAGGTGGTCAGACTGAGGCCCTTGAGCTGTGGTTAAACTACAAATTCCATCATGCATCTGTCAAGTCTGGGAGTCAAGCCTGTGGCTGTGAGAATCTTGCAATGCCTCATGGGATTTGTAGTTCCACAACAGCTGGAAGGCCAGAGTTTACCTCCCCTGTTTTAGTGTCAACCTTGGGACCACAAGATGTGGTTTCACTCCCAGGCTTCCAAAAGTCTGCCAATCCCAGAAATGTTTGTTAGTGGGTGCTCTGTCCTACTACTACAGCACTGGAATTTGATTGTACATTTCTGACATCACCTATGCAATCCTGTGCAAGCACGGTAGCAGTACAGACTGGATACCACCACACATGCATGGGATTCACCACCATATTTGCATGGGGAAAAATAAGTAGAGAATATCAGCATCATAATATGCAATGTATGCAGAGGCGGGTGACAACGCTACCTGGCTGCCGTTCTGACAGGGCAAACTAGGCGGCTGCGAGGTCCTCGGGAACGCGAGGCCTAAGGCGACCGCCTAATTTGCCTAATTAAAGAGCCGCCTCTGAATGTATGTCCACCCACCATCTTGATAGACAAAACCCTGATGCCATCTTAGAGAAGTCCTGGGGAAATGTTCATCTTTAAAACTTGTGCTTTGTAAGTACAATTTTTTGTAACCATTTTGTATATCTAATCATCTAATCTAATACTTTCCAACATTTGAATTATGTTCCATAGAAGCTGTCATCACAGTTCCAGGCATTTGCATTTTACTTTTCACAGTGGGCTGTATGGAATCACATGAGGTGGGTAAAAGGCAGGGATTACATAAATACAGCAGGGTACACCTTTTTTTCAACAGTTTGTGATCTCATTCTCAGAGATTATGTAAGTGCAGTGCAGTATAGTAATCATCATTAAGAGATCCTGCCAATGATGATATTAAATCAAACAGGTAGCCGCTCTCTGCATTATACTTATGATAAGTGCTTACAGGCTAAATGTAAACAAAGCATTGCTTGCACTGCCACAGGCCTTTCATGATGGCTTTCAAAGCACATGGAATGAAAAGGCATAGGCAAGAGGTTTTATTTGCAAAGTTACTCAGTATCCTTGCTATATCCTTGCTATATAAGAACTAATGCATTTCAAAAGTACAGATTTCCTTTAATGTATGTTTAAGCAAACACATATCTGCAATAGATAAGCACTTAGTACTAGCTCAAGGTTTATTATATCCAATGCAAGTCATCATGTCTTGAGGAAATAGAAAATGTCTCAGTGCAAATAATTATTGTCAAAATGGAAACGGCTGAGGATGTCCAAAAAGGGGAAAATAAAAAGAATAAAAAGCAGGACATTTGAAATGTAAATAAATCAGACACAATGTTTCAAATGAAATGACTGCACAAGCAATTAAAAGACAACAAAGCATCAAAAACTGGAACAGTATTGAATCAGTAGAACACATAATAAATAACATTAATTACAGTGTAACAAGGCTGCTTTTTTTACTTCTATTGTAGCTACATCCGGTATCAGACTTGAGACATCTCAGGAATCAGAAAGTCTCTGCACTGAAAGCTGAACTCCTAGCAAACAACCAAATATTTCTTTGAAATACGTATATGGGAACTGCTTTATGTGCCAAAGGGTGTTCCTTTATCCAACATAAACATACAGCAGATTCCAAATGGCCTTCCCGCTCCCACTGTTTACTGTAGATTGGATCACAAGGAAGCCGATATCGTTAGCTGCATTTTTTATGTTTACTTAAAGGGTATCTATGGTCAAAATGTAAAACTAAATCAGTATTTCTGTATTGAATTTCCATAGGTTCTATCCCACTCCTAATAACCATATCAATCTAGAAGCTTATAAACGTACTTATTGAAGCTGTCCATTGGATGTACTTCCTCAATGCACTCGGCCCTGTGAATATGCACTCTCAGAGAGCTTGCCTTCTGAACTGCAACTCAGCACCTGAACTTTGCACAATGTAATATTGTCATTGCTTGCTGGAAGCAATGCATGATGTGATATGTAGTCTGGAGAAATAGAGATTGCATCACATCAAGCAGCAGGAAAAGAGAAGCAAAGCACGCTGGGAATCCTGAAAGTTGTTGCAAGTAATGAGCAGACAGAAGGCAGCACTCACTATGCAAAATGTTTGTTTTTTCAAGTACGTTTTAATTACATTATCAAAACCAACTACAGTTTGTATTCCTGTAACAGTGCTGATGTTCTAACAGGAGAGTAAATCAGTGTTTTGTTTAGACTCAGAAAGTCTAATAGAACTTCAGGTTTAAATTCGTATCTCCCCGTTAGGTAGAGTTCCCCTAATTTTCTTTCCTTTGTGCCACAAGGACAGGAAGTGGTGGGATATCTCTTGGATAGTAGAGTGAGGAGGGGTTAGAACACCTGTCAGGTTTTTTTATTTTGCTCTTGGGACCTTCCTGTCCCAGTGACAACGGCACCTGCTCATTTCTTGTCCTGTGTCAGTGGTGTATTTTGGTTTTGTGCTGCTAAACTCGGGCACCTCTCTAATCTAAATTTGCCCCACCCCTTCCTGTTTAAGACATTTTGCATAACCTGTCAGCACCCAGGCTGTATCCAGCTTCTGACAGGTTGCGCTTTTAGCGTAGTGGGAAAGCCCGCTGTGCATTTTACTTATCCTGTCAGAAGCTGGATACAGCGAGAGCCTGTTTAAATAGTAGCAGGCGTGCCCTGTATCATTTGGGTAAGGATATATTTTTTTCTCTTAATGGCAGGTGAGACTCTGCCTCACTGGTTTTGGGGCTGCATTTTTTGCCTCCCCCCTGGAAAGTGCTGCCCGAGACAAATGCCTAGTTTGCCTTGTGGTACATACTCCTCTGTCTGGTGTCACAGGAATATGAAGTGAGGGCACTGATAGCAAAAAAAAACAGTGATAGAATTTCGAAATCTAACCCAATACGAAACAAACTTTTCTTTTATTTATAAAATGTTTTACAAAAGACTTTTATAATGTTATTTTTGAACCTAAACGTATCCATATTTACAAGGCTCTGGGCCTGGGCATCATGTGATTGCATTCCTCGAAGAGTTATAAAAAGACAGAAACATATGATAGAATGTCTTTATATCGTCTACCAAAGCGATAAGACATTATTTGTTGGTTTCTGTGATGGCAGAACGATATAGCTGAGGCCGTGTCCTCTCTAGATCTGGCACGATTCTCCTCTGTAAGCCGAGCTCTGCGGCTTCTGTACCCACGCTGCAGACGTGCTTTGAGTTAGAAGCATAAATGATTGTTGTCTACCTGCATCACATCTCTGCACACGCTGACATTGCCGAGTTCACTGAAGGCATCCAATTTAACGTTTCCAGTATTTGTGATGCATTCAGGGAACACAATGCTGCCAATATGATCTGAAATAACTCAAAGCCAACCTGCGCTTGGGATTCAGAGAGCCAAATGCCCTCGCTCGGTTTAATCTATATAGCCTAAAATTCCGGAAAGAGGTTTAATAGGAAAACTATGAAATAAAAAAGGTTGCAAAACATGGGGTTAATGTTGGAATGTATAAAGAATACATTCCTCTGCATGGAGCTAGTGACTAGCCCAAAGTGTGTCTGTGCAATATGTTAATAGGAATAATACTTAAAGGGTAACTGTACTAGTAACAAAGATGCATCAATAGACATGAGCTGCTTTGCAAACAATAAAAAGTTCTTTTTGAGAGACGACCACAGTTGATGCTCCAATTAGGAGAGCACAAATGTGTCCACAAGCACATATCTTCATAGGCCAACCCTAAGCACCAATGCTCTACTATTAGAGAGGGAA